AAGCTGGATCAATGAAACCCGATCTGTTATTTAGAGTAAGTTAAAAGGGATAAATCAACTTTCACAGAAACATGTTCTTAGACTACTGCTTGAGATCACATCAAAAGGCACTAAACGTGGATTCAGTTATCCTGACGTATAAATAACTTACTTTAAAGGCACTAAACGTGGATTCAGTTATCCTGATCAGTTATCCTGACGTATAAATAACTTACTTTGATACTGATGGGAGCTATCCCGTAACAATTTATTTTTGTAATTGTAAAAGAATATTTCTGTTGTTGTTATTAAATACAAAGCTACACAATGGGCTATCTTGCACTATGCCCACCACGACTTGAAAAAGAGAAAATTCAAAACTTATCCAATTAGAGTTTCTTTCGAGAGAGTTTGTCATTTTGCTGTTTAGTGAATAGTTACGTTATTATTTTGAAGTGATAGGCCAGAAGAAAAGCAACAAGTCAATAACACCCATCGCCATCTACTCTTGTCAGACCGAATAGGAGGATTTTATTGTCACTCTAATAACACACCTACGGGTACAACCTGCGAAGCGTAGCTTTTTTGGTGTTTTTTTTTTTGTAGTATCGTTTGTTTGTTTGTCATTAAGCACAAAGCTACACAATGGGCTATCTGTGCTCTGCCCACCACGAATATCGAAATCCGGATTATAGCGCTGTAAGTCCGCAGACATACCTCTGTGCCTCTGTACCAATTGTATTATAGCTTTTGTATATGTTAGTGGTTAACATGTCGGGCTGCGGATAAGTAGGTCCAAGGTTTAATACGTGATGCCGCTGAACACACTCTGCAATTTCAGCTATGGGCGTAATATACAAATCACATCCAATCCAGGATTCTAACAATGTCATTATGACAGAGGGTGCTGTTAGCACACTGACCAGGTACTTGTTTGTTTGTTTGTACTTGAGCACAAAGCTACACAATAGGCTTTCTGTGCTCTGCCCACCACGGTATCGAAACCCGGATTCTAGCGTTGTAAGCCCGCAGACATACCGCTGTGTCACTGGGGGGGCTGACCAGGTACAACTATCCGTGACCTCTATGGATCATTTAGCCCGCCAGAGACAATTATACCGAAATCCTTCGGGTCCATTAGCCCATGTGTACATCGGATATCATTCAAGTTTAAAATAACAGTACTAATTCTTTCCTCATCATGTGCCATCTTCATTAGGAAGATTGGCTGTCACAATCCCCCACTTCTGTTTTTCTCACCAGATCTTCATATTTTACTATCTGTAATATTTATTATCCACTCTGTTCTTCCCCTGTATTTTTTCCCTTCTGTTTGACCCTCTAGTAGGACTCGCTGGATGTTGTCGCGTCTCATCATATGCTACTTTTCTCTTCCAGTTTGTTAATCAATGCTTGTGTTAAGGTCCGTGTTTCACAGCCATATAACATAGTTGATCATATATATCACTTTATTATTCTCTTCCTTGTTTTTACTCTTATGTTCTTTGATGTCAGACTTGTTTTCATACTATTACAGGCACATCTTGCCACCTCAATCCTCTTCACTATTTCAGCTTCACATTTTCCATCACATGTTATTGTCTGGCTGAAGGATGTGAATTTCTCTACTTGTTTTATGTCTTTTTCTTCTAACTTTATCTGAATTTCTGACTTATCATCATATCTACTTATCAGAATACTTTTTGTCTTCTTAGTATTCATTTTCATTCCACACCTCTTTCCTGTGTAAGTCTTGTTCTATTTCAGCCATCAGTACAGTGTCATCAGCATATCTTAAAATATTTATCACAATGTCACCGATCTTAATACCTATATTACTCTCAATACTGCGAAAGATGGCGTCTGTGTACAAATTAAATCGACACGGGGAAAGGACACATCCCTGGTGTACTCCTCTTTTAATTTGAATTTCTGGTGATAATCCCTCTTCGGTCCTAATGAATGCTTTTTGGTTCCAATACAGACTTCATATTAACTACAAATCTTAGTCGTCTATATCTAGGCTTTTCAAGCATTCTGTCAACTTTTCATAGCTGACTCTGTCGAAAGGTTTTTCATAATCAATGAAGCACACGTGTATATTTTTCCCACTGTTCAAGTATCTTTATTACCCAATAAAATTAGATTAAGCCTCTTGAGTGACTAACCGCCTTAAAATTTCAATCCTGCTCGTTTATAAAAAAAAAGAAGTCGGTCATTGTTCTTAATTTAACTAAACTCCTTTATCAAAACAAACCACTTGTTCATTAGTCTTATTTTAACTTCCATATTGAAACAAACCAGTCATTCACTGGTCTTACATTTCTCGGATATTGAAACAAACCAGTCATTCACTGGTCTTATGTTAACTTGGATATTGAAACAAACCAGGCATTTACTCATATTATTTTAACTTGGATATTGAAACAAACCAGTCATTCACTGATCTTAAGTTAACTTGCATATTGAAACAAACCGGTTATTCATTGGTCTTATTTTAACTTCCATATTGAAACAAACCAGTCATTCACTGATCTTAAGTTAACTTGCATATTGAAACAAACCGGTTATTCATTGGTCTTATTTTAACTTTCATATTGGAACAAACCAGTCTTTCACTGATCTTAAGTTAACTTGCATATTGAAACAAACCGGTTATTCATTGGTCTTATTTTAACTTCCATATTGAAACAAACCGGTTATTCATTGGTCTTATTTTAACTTCCAATCTGAGGGTCGCGGGTTCGAATCCCCGTCCCACCAAACATGCTCGCCTTTTCAGCCGTGGGGGCGTTATAATGTGACGGTCAATCCCACTATTCGTTGGTAAAAGAGTATCCCAAGAGTTGGCGGTGAGTGGTGATGACTAGCTACCTTCCCTCTAGTCTTACACTGCTAAATTAGGGATGGCTAGCGCAGATAGCCCTCGTGTAGCTTTGCGCGAAATTCAAAACAAACCAACTTGCACACAATAATAATGTTAAGGAATCGTTCTGGTGTTAAGAGTATACGAGAGTAAACCTGATGAAATCACGCTAGTATGACAAATAAACCTCATTAATTAACCTCCAGCACACGCACATCCTCGGGCCTAATGATGAGAACTTCTAATGGTGGATGAATAGAGAAACGTAAATAAAAATCAAATAAATGAATTAAGTTGTAGGGAGGACAACGTGGGCAGGAATGAGAAGTACTGTTTTGTTTTTGTTTTCGATAGACAGAAATATATGCATCTGATTAATCAAAATATTATTAACTAGGTAGAGACATTATTTGTGATACACTTGTTAAAAGAAATACATTCACACTTGCAATAAACATAGCATCAACCATAAGGTTAGAAACACTAAGAATCTTTTAGTCACAGAGGAAAAGCTATCAGCAGGTTAAACTCAGAACAGAAGTCAAGTTATTTTATTTCAACCTTTGATTCTTGATTAATATAGTTCAAAGTTTTTCTCGGATGGACATACCTCTAACAGTCTTTGGTTTGGTAATAGATAAGCACCTTTATTTCGGATTTCATATAGTGTATTATCTTATATGAGCATTCATACGTCTGAATATCTATGGTTTGATAATAGATAAGCACCTCTATACTGGATTTGATATAGTGTATTAGCTTATATGAGCATTCATACGTATTAATGGTAGGGTTATGTTACCTTCATCCTGATAGTAGGGTTATGTTAGCTTCATCTTGATGGCAGAATTATTTTACCTTCACCCTGATGGTAAGGTTATGTTACCTTGGTCCTGATGGTAAGGTTATGTTACCTTCATCCTGATGGTAGGATTGTGTTACCTTTATCTTGATGGTAGGGTTATGTTTCACATTTCATTCTCTCCTGTACTTTTAGATTTTAAAAAGAAGGTAAAAGCGAGAATACATTAACATAATACTCAATGCTTTGTACACTATGCAATAGGTGTCTTTAGGAGGCCAACCCGTATATTATGTATGAAGCAAAGGTGTAAAAAAATCAATACATATAATATAAATTTTTATTACACACATTCATAAAATACACTAACTCTCAGTAGCAAAAAAAGCGTCACAAAACAAGTAATAAAAATTTTTGTAAATGTATAATATAGGGATGGCAGTGCCATAAAGAATGCAAACGAGAACATAGGGATGATACAACTATACAAAGATCATTCATACATGACTTTCAATATTATAATTTATTGTTACACTGTAAAATGCATACTTGAATTTGATGTTACTGCAATGGAAGTTATGTATTCCTGAATGTTGGTATACAGTTTGTTTATCATAATATCATGGTCATGTCAAATCATGTATCAATGTAGTGTAACTAAGAGCTTAGGACTTACATACAAGAAAATTGAGTCAAAATATGTCTTGATTATTGCAAACTATAGCTACGAGGTCGGTGCAATTGACCGACCTCATAACCACTCTGTACTCGGTCATTTTACAGTGTAACGTTAAATTTTAATATTGAAAGTCATGTAGGGATGATCTATGTATAGCTGTATCATCTCTATATTCTTGTTTGCATTCTTTTTGGCACTGCGATACCTACATCATTTTACATTTACAGCATTTTTTTTTTGTTACTTGTGCTGTAATTACGATGACGGCAATTATTCGGGTTTTTCTCTCAATTTAGAAATGTGGTAAATAAAGAGTCATGTTAACGTCCTATTATGTGTATTCCAATTTTTCTCACCAAATGTGTAAAAAAACATACAAAAACTGCCTATAATCGGTATATAATGTACAAACATGATCACTTAGGCTTAAAATATTGTTTTCATCTTGTTGAAATATTTAGATGCGTTTGTGTTAGTCTTAATGTAGAGTGCCCTACAGTCTGCGGACTTACAACGCTAGAATCCTGGTTTCGATACCCGTGGTGAGCAGAGCACAGATAGCCCATTGTGTAGCTTTGTGCTTAATTGCAAACAAACTTAACGTAGAACTGCTCATAATACCACATTTACACATGTGTTTGCACTTCTTGTGCGCTGAGATATTCCACAATTTCCTGTTAATTTTACCCATACAGCTACTAGAAATTTATTAGTAAAATCATTCTTTTGACAGCCGCCTGCCAGCCCGTACGGTCTGATTGTTAATGGTAGCAGCACTTAACAAAGAAAACCACGAGGAATGTCACGAGAACTCCTGATGACCTTACCCCAACAAGTTCCATTAGTCAACGTTAAAGTTTATACTTGTGTTTCTTGTAAAACTCAACTCTAATATGTTCCCTTTAGCATATGAAGTTTGTGAACTTGTAGCTTAAGCTGTATAAAGGATGTAAACAATCACCAAGAATTTTGCTTTGTATTTAACGTGACAATTTACATTGGACAAGGATGAATGAATAAATACATCAGTTTGTTATGTTTAACAATGAAATACCTGCGACCTCATGTCTTGTCTTTCATCTAGGAGATACAATGATTTACAAGAAATCTATATATTGCCTTAAACGTATTGCTTTGTTTTGTTTTGTTCGTTTTTTTAGAGCAAAGCCACATTGGGTTCTCTGCTGTGTCCACCGCAGGGAATCGAACCCCGGATTTTAGCGTTGTAAGTGTAATGCATTGCTCAAATTATGGAACAGTTGTTATAGCAGATATTTGTTTTATTTTATTTTCAATACTAAACAGTTAAAATAGAAACCATGGGTCATAATAAACCCAAATATGAGGACATATACAGTCAGTTGTGACGCAGAATAATACAAATCTGGTTTCAAAAGTAGCAAGAATGTAGATCACATATTTAACGTTTCTTTCATGCAACAATGTTTTTTCATTATCTTCATGCAACAATGTGAAATACAATATTAACACTTCTTTGAGCTCTGGTATACGAACATAAAACAACAAACCTTTCACGAAATAGATTATCAATAATGTAAGACAGTCGTTGAAACAAAAGTTATGTTTCGTAACTCAAAACGGAACTTAATACGACTTTTATCACAGTTAGTGGAAATCCAAGAACTGGGAGAGAAACATCATGGTAGGTTAGTATTTTAAATACTGATCTTCTTGAGCTCGACACCGGCCACCCATTTCAAAGTGATCAACGGTTTCGTGATGCTCCTGTTTCCGGCACCTGACAATTACCGCCAAAAGAACCAACACTAAGAGAAAGAGCGTAACGCCACCTCCGGCGGCCACGTACACTAAGTGAAATCGTTGACAGTGTTCTGCCGACTCATCATAACCTGACGGACAATGTTCTTTCCCATCACACCAGAGGTCAGGACTGATGCAGGCGTTTATCTCCGGGCACCTGAAGAGGCAGTTAATCTTCCTTAAAGACTGTCCCGTGTTTCTCTTCATGAAGGGTTTTGTCACCTCGTCCCACTTCACGCGCACTGTTTGGGGTACTTTAATCAAAGCTTCGAGAATGATATGATTTCGTTCTTGTCCCCCTAGATCAGATAAATGAGACGTTACGCCTTCGGTATACCTAGAAGGTAAAAATACTTTGAGTTCTGTCGCATTTTCATTATTACATATTGTAGAACCCGCTATATTACTAGCTTCCGAGTAGGCCCTCAGCACGTTGCTCGAGCCACATTTCGCTGACCCGTTTGTTCCTCTAAACGTCAGGTAAAAATGTTTCCCCACACTAGTTGTCAAAGCCCATCTACAACGAAACTGGCCATATTTTTGTAACATTGAGCTGGAAACAGTAAAAGTGAGTTTTCCTTTAGAACCTCGTTTTTCCTTTAATACTGTGTCACAGACTGGAAAAGAGAAGAATTCAAAGTTTGCCTCAAAATTATAATGTCGATAATCCTGTAAAGAAGTCATGCCTTTTACGGTAAAAATCGCTGAAACGTTGTCACCAAGAGATGTCAGTTGAATTGGGTTGTGACTAGTGGTGTCAAACTCATGTTACAAAAACAGCCAATCGACAGTTCAACTCCCTGCCAGTTTTCAACGACTCTTATGAAAGAAAGAGGTCCGTTATGAGTTTTGATGATTTCACAAGTTCTTTCATGAGACACGTTATCTACTACAGTTTTACACGATGATGAAAAGAGTTTTAGGGTTTGAAAGGCAATTTTGACTCTACTTGAGCCTTTTCCTTGAAGATTATATCGACAAGAAATGTCGCTACGACCACCCCTTCCAAAATATAAGACATTCCGCGGGGAATATATTTTACCACTACTTGAACTCTGGCTCTTTACAATCCGATCACAAAGTGAGGATGGAACAGCTACACCCGGTTGGCGCGTGTCTACAAATTCATATCTGGCCATAAAGAGAGGTTGAACAGCTGGGATTCCCGATGTCTTCGGATAATGTAGTCGCAGCACCAATTCTGGTCCCTTGGAAAAGTAGCTTTCTTCTGGAAAGCGACAGGGACGGAGAGGAATTAAATTGGGAGAATCTGTGGCACGGGCACACAGTCGTGGAGAGCTTTTCTCGCAGTAAGTATGATTATTCTCAATAGAATCAGATTCAGAGACTCCAAAAAAATCTGGAGCAGCTGAACCCAAGATCTCCATACGACCAGTGTCGCAATGTTCTGTGAGCGACCAGGGATGCTTGTCCTCTACCATATATGACATCAGATACAACCACACACGATCAGATGGGTTTCTCCCTCTCAGAATGTAAGTGCACGTGGTTTGAGATGGTACAGTGTGTTGGGGGTTTCGAATAATTCCTGAATTCTTATGTGATCCATCCAATAAAAATTTACAGCTATTCCCAGAGATCCGCCAGAGGGAATTCGTAACAAGTCTAACTTGAGCTTCAATCTCCAGTCTGGAATCGTGCAGGCGTTGATAGGGGGCGCTGATTAGCTGTATCAAAACGCTGGAATGACTAGATATTACTGGCGGAAGAGGACCCGAACCACAGAACTCTGTAAGTATAGTTGATGCCGATGTGGAGCCATCGAATATACGCACCATATCTTGAGAACAATCAGAAGTAAGTAAGCTACTGGATATTGCCCCAATACCCGAGTGTCCATTATCGATAGAAATTTTATATTCATTATCCTGTCTCAGCACTATCTGTGCTTGCAATCCTTTGGGAATGTTTTTCTGTTTGATTAGGTAGTGACACGTGAAATTTGGTAAAAACGTGCCAGGAAAATTAGGAGATCTAATAACACATACTTTATTGATGCAGTCTTGGTATTCTACATTACAAAAAGAATTTGGCATTGACCTCCCAAAATCCTTGATTTCATCTTTCTGAACTTCTAAATTTGTCCTCCTTGTCATAAATTTATACGTAAGGAAGACATTAAAAGACTGGGAGCGCCAAGATGTCCGACTTGGCATGAAAATGGCCAACGTGACGTTGTTTCCGCTTGAGAAGTAGTTGACACTTTGGCCTGCCATTTGGCCACAAAAATATCCAAAATGGGGTGTACTTCTTTCTGTGAGGTTATACAAGTTGGGCAACATTCCGTTAGTCTGTTTGATTGCTGAGACGAGTTGGCTGAGACCACGTGTTTGTTGGTGATTGATGTCTCTTTCTGGGCTCTTATAGTCAATAACCTGAAGGTGGCCTCCATAGCACGTGGGGCTGGAGCTACTGGTAAGGAAAGAAGAATCGTCATTAGCACTAGCTAACTATTGAGAAATAGACAAGATCACAACTTGTAGTTTCTTTAAACATATCAATGGTGTTAAATAAGCTTTAAAAATCTATTTTCATTTCATCTTAGTGGATATCTAAAGTATGGTGAATGTGTTTATTAAATTGATCACTAGCTATTGAAACTGGAAATTAAAACAAAATACTTATATCGGCTTTATTCTAACCTATTTTACCTCTCTTTCAAAAACAGAAACATTTTAAATAACAGTAACTGCAACACAATGAGGAAGAATAGATCACCATTCTTGGGCTTTGGATGATCTTGTTGTAGCAACTGTAGCAGAAAGAAAAACACCAAATGTTTCTTTTTTTTGTTTTTAATTATGCACAAAGCTACACAAGGGCTATCTGTGCTCTGCCCACCACGGGTATCGAAACCCGGTTTCTAGCGTTGTAAGTCCGCAGACATATCGCTTGTGCCACTGGGGGGCGCCAAATGTTTCTGATGAGAGATAATTTTCAAAGGGTAACTATTTGTATTATTTCTTCTCGACATTAATTTTACGCCCCCCCCAGTGGCACAGTGGTATGTCTGCGGACTTACAACGCTAGAAACCGGGTTTCGATACCTGTGGTGGGCAGAGCACAAATAGCCCTTGTGTAGCTTTATGCATAATTAAAAACAAACATTAATTTTTCAATGTTACCACAATAAACGTAGAGAATGTTGTTTTATAAACAATACAGCCATAAGATGGCTAAGATGTCTTTTTCAAGGTTACTCAGCTATTGTTATTGTTATATTATTCTCTTTGGTTCTTACACATTTTCGATGTTTCGATATACTCGGAGAGAGAGTTCACACTTCATCTTCAACTCTGTATGATTCCATCATAAAGTGAAGTGAACAGTTCCGCGTTTTTAATGGACGATATAACAATAAATGTATTTCAAATATTTGCAATCCTTCTCCTGATTCATCCTCTAAGGGCGCCCCCCAGTGGCACAGCGGCGTGTCTGCGGACTTACAACGCTAGAATCAGGGTTTCGATACCCGTGGTGGGCAGAGCACAGATAGCCCATTGTGTAGCTTTGTGCTTAGTTAAAAACAAACAAACCTCTAAGCGCAGCCACAGTTGCGAGTTGCGTTTCGATGTTATTGATCTGTGGGCTATACCCATTACTAATAGTTTGATTTAACTAATTATCTTTTATATTGGTTATTAGTGTTTCGCCCGTCAAAAATGACGGAGCAAGTACAACCACCCCCACCCTATAGTATACACCAACCTCACATTTCCTAGCTAACTAAAATAAATACATT